TGGCTTATTAAGTTTGAATAGTTGTGTTTGGACCCTAGTCATTCCCTGCAATGGTTTATAGGCTTTTACCATATCTGATATGAAATAAATGTTTTATGGTGTCCTTTACCTCTTTGTTATTTAGACTGTAAATGATGGGGTTCAATGCTGGGCATACAGTATAAGAAAACAAGGATAAATATTTTCCTTGGTTCGTAGAGTACTGTGTTGAAGGCCCAAAGTACATGAGCATTGAGGTCCCGTAGGCTAAAACCACCACTGTGATGTGTGAAGTACAAGTAGAAAAAGCTTTGGACCTCCTCGTAGACTTAAGCTTCAATACCGATGATATAATACATATATATGAGACTATCACAAACATAAAAGGAAGGAGAAGAGCAACGAAACAAGTAACCAACATAACAAGCTCACTTAAGTAGATACTGTCACAAGCCAGCTGAATGATGGCCAGAACTTCACACATGAAATGGTTAATGTGGTTGGGATTACATAAAGCCAATGGCATTGCAAGTGGTGGAATAATAAATATAATGAAGCTCATCACCCATACAAAGGCGGTGAGTCGATAACAAACACTCCATCTCATCTGAATGGGATAATGGAGAGGATGACAGATGGCCAAAAATCGGTCATAAGCCATGAGGGCGAGGAGTAGAGACTCGGTACCACCTAAAAATAGTATGGTAAAGAACTGTATTGTACAAGCGCCAATTGAAATGACCTTATGGGCAGTCAGAAGGTCGTAGAGCAGTCTTGGCACAGCAGATGTTGAAATACACAAGTCCACGATAGACAAAATGCAAAGGAAAAAGTACATGGGGATATGTAACTGGGGATTAACAAGGATTATGCTGAGTATAAGGCCATTTCCAAAAAAAGCAATGAGATAGAAAACCAAAAACATCACAAACAGACCCTTGTTAGTCCTTAGATCTTTAGAAAATCCCAGCAAAACAAACTCTGTCACAAGAGTACAATTGGTTTGCATCAACATGGCCATTAACTGAATTTAAAGAAACAGAACAATTATAACTCAAGTAACAGTAATAACTATATAAACAATGGCATTCAACAATGATGCATAGTGAATTGCCTTCTGCACCCCATCTATTTTTTCTAGATATTGAAGTTTAGATCTGTGGGTCTAATGTCTAGTACTCTGTGATGATTTTTTATATTTTTACACACAAATCCAGTTCAAGAGAACTAATCTAACTATTCCAACAGGCATTTTCTTTTTCAAAATGTGACTGAACATAACAGGTAATCCAAAATGAGCATATAGATAATTTTAGAAAATTTCTAAAAACTTACAAAAGGTAAGTCAAAGTTATATATCATTTAAATTTAAAGCTTAGCTCCTAACAAATGAATTCAGCTTTGTATTCATGAATGCAATATTAAATGCATTTTTCTAATTATAAGCAGGGTAAGAACCGGAATTTGACTTGGAATCAGCTCTTACAGGGCCTGTACAACGGAGCTTAGAATGGAAGAGGGTGAAACAAGAGTTGATTAGTTGTGCTGCAGTGCTTATGTGCTAACAAGAAACATATTTAGAGAGGGTGAGCAATGAGTGACGGAAAAATATGGTCATCAGTCTGCTGCCTCTTATGGCTCTGTCCAGTCCCAGGCTTGGGGAAGGGACAAGACTTGTAAGTGTCACCTAAATGCTACAGAAAATAAATCAGGTCTCCTCCCCTGCCAACTATGCTGTGTGGCAAAGTTGTGTAAATCTCACTGGTTGGGCAGAAATAATCCTTTGGCAGATATATATTTGTTTCATCTGTGTATTAAGTTGTTTACCTAGGTATCCATCCATCCTTAATAATTTAAAAAAAATAAAAATAAAAATGTATTTTTCAAATGAAACTATTCAGTTATTGTAGATCTGTCTATGCAAATTAGCTGATAAAATATTCAGATGGAATCAAGAGAACATTTGAATCTCATTCAGTCTGTGATCAGTTAATGCAGGTTGGTCCAAATGGATCTGAAATTATATTATTGTTAAAGTTTTGCATTGATTATGTTTTCTTCATTTTACTGGCCATATTTATGCTATTTAGACTGTCAGTTCACATCAATGTTTGATGACAGTAGAATGTAACTTTTGCAGTTATATCAACAGAAAGATAACTATATCCTGACCAGGTTCACCTTCACCGACAAGAACAATTCTGGAAGACCCTTCTTCTTTAACAACTGAAACAATAAGAAGGTCAAGAAATTAGAGGTGCTCAGCAGGTGCATTCTCTGTCACAGATCGAAAGCAACAAGTTACAAAGCCGTGAAGGATAAATACTAGATGAATACATCATTATGTATTACTAAAAAACAATTTTTAGTTAAAAGGCTTAGATTTTCAAAATTTACAGTTAAAGAGAAGCTAAAGTCCACTGCATGGAAGGTGGACTGTCACCTTAATGTGCTATTATTAATTATTGTTAGCAAAAGAAAAGTAGCTTATGCCGCAAGAACAACAATACATCTCTGCAAAAGCAAACAATAGTGTAGTGTGATGGATATATCGAAAAAATGTTAATCCAGCAGAAATACATCCAAACCATACATAATAGCATTCATATATGAGACATTTGCCACTGACCTCTGATTTAAGCACCTATTTAAATGTGAAAAAAGAAAATTCCCAAGATTGCAAAGAAAGCCCTTGTGGCAAATCATGGTTGTATAAGCATAAAAGCAAAATAAATAGATAAATAATATAATAAACACTGAATGCTCTACTGACTAAATATGATTGAAAGTGCATCACATAATTTAATGGAGACATTAACTTTACAGTGATAAATATTACTTAGAAAAAAGTAAAAAAAGAAATATATATATATATATATATATATAATATATATATATATATATATATATATATATATATATAGTTGTGTAGTTGTGTTCAAAATAATAGCAGTGTGTTGAAAAAAGTGAATAAAGCTGAAACTCCTTCTAATAGCTTTTATTTCCATACACACAAATGCATTGAACACTACACATTCTATTCCAAATCAAAACATGAAGAAAAATATATCAAATTTGTGTTGTTCCGCTAAATAAATTGAAGAAAAGTGAATATTAGACTGTTCAAAAAAATAGCAGTGTTTGTATTCTTCTTTACAAACTCAAACATTCACTATATAAACTGAAAAATGTTTTAAGATTTTGCTTTCCTTTGAATCACTTAATGAATATTTTGTTGTAGTCGCACTGTTTCTGAGAATTGCTGTACATCTGTGTTGCATGGAGTCAACCAACTTCTGGCACCAGTGAACAGGTATTCCAGCCCAGGATGATTGGACTACATTCCACAGTTCTTCTCTATTTCTTGGTTTTGCCTCAGAAACTGCATTTTTGATATCACCCCACAAGTTTTCTATTGGATTAAGATCCAGGAATTGGGCTGGCCACTCCATAACGTCAATCTTGTTGGTCTGGAACCAAGATGTTGCACGTTTTACTGGTGTGTTTGGGGTCGTTGTCTTGTTGGAACACCCATTTCAAGGGCATTTCCTCTTCAGCATAAGGCAGCATGACCTCTTCAAGTATTCTGATGTATTCAAACTGATCCATGATCCCTGATATGCGATAAATAGGCCCAACACCGTAGTATGAGAAACATTCCCATGTCATGATGCTTGCACCACCATGCTTCACTGTCTTCACAGTGTACTGTGGCTTGAATTCAGTGTTTGGGGGTCGTCTGACAAACTGTCTCCGCCCACTAGACCCAAAAAGAACAATCTTACTTTCATCAGTCCACAAAATGTTGCGCCATTTCTCTTTAGGCCAGTCAATGTGCTCTTTGGCAAATTGTAGCCTCTTCAGCACATGTCTTTTTTCCAACAGTGGGACTTTGCGGGGGCTTCTTGCAGATAGCTTGGCTTCACATAGGCGTCTTCTAATTGTAACAGTACTCACAGGGAACTTTACACCTTCTTTCATCTTCCTGGAGCTGATTGTTGGTCCTTGCCATTTTGGCTATTCTTCTATCCATTCGAATGGTAGTTTTTCCCTTTCTTCCACGTCTTTCAGGTTTTGTTTGCCATTTTTAAAGCATTTGCGATCAATTTAGCTGAGCAGACTATCATTTTCTGCACTTCTTTATATGTTTTCCCCTCTCCAATCAACTTTTTAATCAAGGTACGCTGTTCTTCTGAACAATGTCTGGAACGACCCATTTTCCTCAGAATTTCAGAGAGAAATGCACTGTAACCAGCATGTACAACATTTGCTGCCTTCCTTCCTTAAATAAGGGCAATAATTGCCACCTGTTTTTCAAAGAATGAATGACCTCACTAATAGAACTCCACACTGCTATTATTTTGAACATGCCCCTTTCAATGAGTGATTCAATTACACAGAATCAGCAGCATGCATGTCATGACTGTTGGGTCTGTTGGATTTCTAGTACTCTACTACACCTGCTAGTAAATTATTTGCCATGTAGAAATATCATTTCTACCAAAAACAGTGATTGATCAGGTTAGTGATGTCTGACTGCTATTATTTTGAACACAACTGTATACTGTATATATAAAAATTCATGCAGGCAAAACCTTTTATTACCTTACATAGGTAATTCACATTTCACGTGTTGGTAGCATAACTCTTCTTCTATAGTAACTTTTTTTAAAAGACCAATGTCTTGTCATTGGTGACTCATGTCAATGGTGCCATTCTGTAACCTTCTGTGGATGTCAGACAGCCTGTACTACTCCATCAAGAACTCTTGGAATCCCTTATTTATCTTCAAAGAAGAAGAAGAAAAAGTTACAAAAAGGAAAAGCTATTCCACCAACATGTAAAATTTGAATGACTTGTGCAAATTGTATATATGATATTGCGAGCTTTTACTTCCCCAAAACTTAGCAAAAATCAAGAGATTTCTACAAAATGTCACATTTTTTTCAAAAAGTATTGCAGTCAATGGGGAAATAAATATGAAGGTGGTGGTTTTTCGTGTTTAGGCAGCTGCTGACTTTCCAAGGGGCAACAGTAATCTATATTGTTGAGTATCATACAACTAATTTCGTAGACATAAATCAAGTGGTTGTAAAAGTTTGAACTGTATTAAACTCCCCTAATGAGCCTTACATATCAAACAATCAATAGCTCAAATCTTCATTTTAAAGCTATGACCAGGCCTAACACATATGACTGCTAGGAATGATTGAATATGTCTGGGTTCAGTTTCTGGGGTGTTCATTAAACCCATTGCAAAGTCCGAAAAACTTAAATCTGAACCCCACAGAAGTCTGCGGTGGAAACAATCTTTAGGCTGCGTTCACACCAATGCGTTTTTTTATCATTTTTTGCAGAAACGTACTACAGTCCATTCAACATGGTTTCCTATGGAACATGTTCACATCTATGCTTTTCTGAGCTGCGGTATTTTTGGAAAGGGTCAGGGACCTTTTTAAAAGCAAAAAGCAGCGTTTTTTTGCTACAATAGAGTTCAATGGAGAAGCTGCTGAAATGCATGGTAGTACGTTTTTGCTATGCTTTTTGCCTCATTTTGCGTTTTGCCTTTATTCTGCCCAGCAACAAAAAAAGTTCCCTTTAACAAAAAAAAAAAAAAAGAGCAGAACAAAATGCAAAATGCGGCAAAATTGCATCAAAAACGTGTGGAGAAAAACCCAGAACAAACTGCAAAAATCACTGGAAAAAAGCATCAAAAGCAAAATGTAAATATGTGAACCAAGCCTGAAAATCAATTATGGCTATTTTCAAGGCTAATAGGCAAGGTATTGGCAAACAAAGGGCATGGGGAGCTGGGCACTAGCATGGGAGACATATATAGTATCAATGCAAAAATAAGCACTCAAGCAGCACAGTGGCTAAATAGTTAGCACTTCTGCCTGGCAGTACTAGGGTCGTTGGTTTGAA